GCAACTGCAGCAGCAGTTGCTGCCCATGCCCAAGGCCCTCAATAGTGAGGACGATGATTCGGCTGTCTTCGGGGGCTGTCTTAGATTTTGTTGCTGCTGCTGCAGCAGCAGGCAAGCAGCAGCTGCTGTACATACACCGGGCTGCTGCGTTGCTGCAGCAGGAGGATAGCTTGCTGCTGCTGAGCAGGGGCCTGGATGCAGATGGCGTGCTGCTGCAGCTCTTATCGCTGCTGCAGCAGCGGGAGAAAACCGACAGCAGCAGCACCGGCTCGCAGCAGCAGCAAGAGCAGCAGCAGCAGCAGCAGCAGGATCAGGAGCAGCAAAACGGTGGCGGCGGCATCTTTGGCTCCTTATCTTCTCCTGAGCAACCCGACTCTGAGCAGCAGCAGCAGCAGCAGCAGCAGGAGCAGCAGCAGCAGCAGCAGCAGGAACGGAGGCGGCCTTTGTACAGTGCTGCGTGGCCTCGGTTAGTGCTTGTGCTGGGTCTTGCTGCAGCAGAGCATGCAGCAGTTCGTCTGCTGCAGCGGCGGCAGCACCGACAGCAGCGTCGGCTGCTGCAGGTTGCTGCTGCTGCTGCGAAGGCGCGTATGAAGAGCAGCAGCAATGACGAAGCAGCAGCAGCAGCAGCAGCAGCAGAGGTAGCAGCAGCAACAGCCGCATTGGATGATTTGGAGCGGCAGCAGCGTGCAGAGGAGCTGCGTCTTGCATGCAGCAGCAGCAGCAGCAGCAGCAGTGGAGAAGCAGCAGCAGCAGCAACAACGTGGCAGCTGCGGCAGCAAATGTATGTTGGGGGCGGCTGTTTCTGCTGCCCTGCTGCTGTCGTTGCTTCGGACCTCCTCACCGGCCGCCTGCCCCCGGAAGTTGTCGACTGCATCATCTTCGCTCGCGCTGAGCGGTCAGCCAGCTGCAGCAGCAGCAGCAGCAGCAGCAGCCGTAGCAGCAGCAGCAGCAGCAGCAGCCGTAGCAGCAGCAGCAGCAGCAGCAGCCGTAGCAGCAGCAGCAGCAGCCGTAGCAGCAGCAGCAGCAGCCGTAGCAGCAGCAGCAGCAGCAGCAGCAGGCAGAGAATCCCTATCAGGCTATAGACAGTGAAAGTGTTTGAGTAGCATATACTATATCACTAGGTTCAAAGGAGCAGCTGTTGCTGCTGCTGCAACCGCTGTTGCTGCTGCTGCTGCAACTGCTGCTGCTGGTGCTGCTGCTGCTGCTGTGGTTGTTTGTTGCTGCAGGGTCAGCAGCGGCTTTCATGAAGCCTTCGTCTGCCGGGTGTATAGACAGCGCAACAGGATTGGGGGCCTGAAGGCGATAAGCGATAGACCCCACCACTTTGCTGCCAGCCGCAGCAGCAGCAGCTGCAGCAGCAGCAGCTGCAACCTCACCCAGACCCTCAAGCTGCTGCAGCTAAAGAAAGTCCGCTGTATGAGTCGCATGCATAAAGACGTCACAGACACCCTAGAGGTATAGCAGCAGCAGCAGCAGCAGCAGCAACAGCAGCAACGGCAGCAGAGGCACGAGCAACCGCTGCAGCAGCACTTACAGCAGCAGCAACAGCAGCAGCAACAAGAGCAGCAGCGGGAGCTAACAGCTTCGAGTTGATGCGCCTAAAGGCATGGTTGTCGCATCATCTGCAGCAGCAGCAACACCCCTAGCAGCAGCAGCAACAGCACAACGCCTATCAGCAGCAGCAACAGCACCAGCAGCAGCAACAACAGCAGCAGCAGCAGGTTGCATGCATTGTGTTTTGTGTTTTGTTGCAGGGACCTTCTCAGCCGCAGACATGTGAAGTTTGTTTGCCCCCTTCTCCGCTGCAGCTGGAGATGCAGCAGGCGTTGCTGCTGCTGCTGCAGCGGGGGCTGCAGCAGCTAAAGAAGTGCCGCCCGGGGCTGCTGCAGGACTGGGAGGTGTCTTCGCTCTTTCGGGGGCCAGCTCCTCCTCCCCCCCCAGACGAGCAGCAGCTGCAGCAGCAGCAGCAGCAGCAACAACAGCAGCAGCAGCAGCAGCAGCAGCAGCAGCAAAGGGCACCCGTCGGTGGCTCCCTAAGGAGAGCTTTGCATTCTGTATGGCATCAGCTAGACCCCAAGACGAAGGCGCTTGTTGCTGTGGGTGCTTGCTGCTGCTGCTGCTGCTTCACTTGCTGCTGCTGTTGCTGCTTCCCTTGCTGCTGCTGCTGCTGCTCCCCTTGCTGCTGCTGCTGTTGCTGCTGCTGCTCCCCCTGCTGTTGTTGCTGCTGAACTTCTTGCTGCTTCTGTTCCGGTCGCTGTCTCTGCCTGTACGGCGTAACGCTTCATATTTCGTTTCTGCGGCCACTGTTGTTGCTGCTGCTGCTGCTGCTGTTGCTGCTGTTGCTGCTGCTGCTGCTGCTGCTGCAGGACTTGGGTGAGCTTCGTCGTCTGGTGTTTTTGTTGTGGCGGCTGAATTGCGTTTCTTTTTTATCTTATTTGGAGTCTCTCATCAGCAGCAAAGTAATCGATGAGGCCTGGGGGCACACCACCGAGCTCCAGGTCATCCTAAGAAGAGCCAAACAAAGGTGCTGCTGCTGCTGCTGCTGCTGCTGCTGCTGCTGCTGCTGCTGCTGCTGCTGCTGCTGCTGCT